TAACACCTGATGCCGTGGTCTCCAGCAGCTGCCTGTGAACTTGTCAACTTAATAGGCTGCCAAGAAGCTGCTGAATCCCTGTGCCTGTGCTCCACCCCCCTCCACACACACACACTGTGGTGAAATCCTGCTCTCTGAAAGGCATCATTCACCCTCTGGACACAAGGCCCTTCTCAGGCAACTGGGGCACCTCTGGGGTACCTGGGATCAGTGTGATCCTGGTGCAGGTGGGGAAGGAGGCCCAGGGAAAGGCCATGCATTACCTTTGGCTACCAAAGTCAGGAAGGAGCCCATATCACCCTCTCTCTGTGGAGTTTCTAGGGAGCCACCATGGGTGGGCAGGGAGCAGCGGGGTCTGAGGGCCAACTGTCCTAAGGCTCTGATGGACTATCTGCTAGGCACAGAACTTAACCTTGGAGCCTGGGCAAAGTGGGTCTGGAAGACGCTCAAGGTTCAAAGTGGCAGCAACTCTGTACTTCAGAGCAAGGGACACAGCCCGCTGTGCACCTGCTGCCCTGCTGTGTTCTCTGAATTGTCCTCAACCAACCTCACCATGCGACCTCACCTCCTATCTAATAAGGAGGCTACAAAGACAGAATGCAGAAAGGAAAAGCATCTCTAGTTTGAAACATCACTTGGATTCTGATTTAAAGGCAAAACCAGAGTGGGCTACATCAATTTGTGCCCTTTGTTTGAAAAGGATGACTGTGTTCAACAGGCCACACACGAGGACAAAGGGCATGTCTGGCTCTCTCCTTCTCACAGAGCATCGCAAGAGGCCCTGGCCTGCTCTCTGTACTGCAACCTTCCAGACACCTCTGTGCTCCGAGGAGCTGGAAATCCTGCAGTGGGTGGCACGTGGGATGCCCAGATGCCTATCGAGTGTGTGGGCAAGGAGGGGGGAGGCTGATGCACAAGGTTTCTCTTTTGGGGGGAACCTTTCTGTTGCATTCCTCCTCTCCCACTTGGGCCACATCCACCCTGAGGCAGTGTCCTCACCTGAAATCAGTGGGGTACCCAGCCAGATGTGAGGGGACAGGCAGGCAGGCAGAGGCCGCCTCTGGGATGAGGAGAGAGCACAGAGGACGGGCTTTTCTGGCTGGTAAATTCCCTGCAGCCTGCAGTGCCTCATCCCTCATCCAGACAGCCACAAATGTTTACCGAATGGCTCCCAGGACGAAAAGGGGGAAGGACAGGAAGTGGGGAGTGAGTAAAAAGGAGGGTGGCTCTAGGAAGACACTGGAAGCCTTTCTACTGAGACGTGAAGGCTGGAACCTCTTGGCGGGGGGCAGAACTTGAGCTTTTCAACTGCTCCCCTTCCCCTAATCTTTCAAAAAAGTAGGAAGGTGCTAGAGGCAGTCATCAAAGCAGAGAACAATACCCGTTCAGGCTCAGAAGCCTCAGGGCTACCCAGCACTTAACCTCATGAGGTGCTGTCAGCTTTAAGACGCTGATGCTGAGAACTAACATCTGCCCAGGGACCTACTGGGCAAATATTCCTGCTGGACCCACCACCCAGTGCACCCCTGGGCACTGCTAAGGTCAAATCCATCCCTGTACATCCCCTTCTGCAGCATTTTCTTGCCCACCTCCCCCTTCATTTCAGTCAGGGTGATCCACAGTGTCAAATCCAGCGATTCATTTGGACAGAGGTCAGGTACTTGTATATCACTGTGGCAGTTTCCACACGGAATAACCAGATGGCTTGTTCATTTCAGTCCAGGGAGGAAGAGCTAGGAACGGTCTGAAAGGCAGAATTGGGAGTATTCCTTTGGAACTGAGAGGAAGTTGACTTAAGAGGCAGAAAAAAATGGAGCCCAGTTAACCAACTGCAAGTCTTCTAACCACAGGTCACTAAGTGGAGAAGGACCAGAGAAGCTGACACATGAGGAAGAACATCTAACAAGCCCCATCATTCTTTGGTTTCTCGGGCCTTCTGGGTCACCTGGCTGATAGCAGAGACGTGCCTGGGCAGCCTTAAAAGAGAAACATCTACAAAGCATGGGGCCTCATCCCTTTGCGTACTGGGTCTCTGGGGACTGAGCCAAGAGCTCCAAGCACAAGCATTAGCAGAATTTTCCCTGCTCCCTGGCTCCTTCTTCCAACCCAGGCCTTCTAAGACAAAGGAGGGTGGGGTTAAGGAGGAGGAAACAGGCCAAGATAACTGGGGCACTGACTGAGCTAATGATTCTGAAGGTCTGAAGTTAAGAGAAAGAACAGAAAGATATTACTAAGATTTCCTGTAAATACTAACATTCACCTAGTATTTTATTACTAATAAAAAACTTTCATAAACTTTATCTTACTTGACCTTCACAACACCCTTGGGAAAGTACTACCATCCACATTTTATAAAACAGGAAATTGATTCAACCTTCATGGCAGTAGCATTTGAGGTGGAACCTGGGTCTTGTGACATTTTTCTCCTCACCTCAAGACCTTCAATTTCAGAAAGAATCTCTCCAACTTTGCCACACACACCTACAAAGCAAACGACCGCCATCTTGTAAGAAACACAGGACTGAACGCCTTCCTTGCCAGAATGCTCTTAGGCATGGGGGAGTGGCTGCAAGGAGAGGAACCAGAGGCACTTCCGATTCCTCAGCCTCAGTCAGTGGAAACACTGACCCCCGCCTAGGCTGCCAAGGCAGCCCCGAAGATAATACCGCAGAGAAAAAGGTCAAGAAAACTGGTGGAACCTGACAGCCCCTTCCTCTGCTCTGCCTACCCACCAGAACGGGTTCATCTGACCTCTCTACTTTGGACCCTTCCAAAGCTTTGGCTTCTCCCACAGGTCACTCAGAGTGGATTCTCAGGAAAGTCAGTAGACTGCTTAGGGTTGTTTTTCAAAATCCTGAACGGACCCCAAACTCCCAAACTGCCATGGTTACCTGTTGGTCAGATGGGTCTAGATCATTAAGGTCCAGGCATTTAGTTCTATACTCCATGGTCCCCCACCCGGGGGGTGGGGCATACAGATTCTCTGTAGATGAGCAGCAACCTCTTGGTGAGACACAGGCAAGGCGGGTGGAGGCTCCTTCCCCATCAACCTGATCAACTTACCTTCACCGGTTTCCCAACCTGCTCATGAGACCTTGCTGCCATTCACACTGTCCAACAGGATGATGCTGTGTCCCGCCTGCGTGTCACCCTTTACTTCTGAAGGCATTCTCCACACACGAGTCCCTGATTCTCCTTGTGCCTCCTCCTTTGCTCTCTCATTGCCATTTAATTATGTGACTTTCCTATGGTTCTTCTCTAATTCTACTTGTGCTAATTAATTATGAACATTGTTCATTTTCCCTAATAGATCATAAAGTCCTTAGAGACAGATACTATGTTGAACTCATCCCTGTGGTTTCTTCTCCATTTTCATGTCTGGTCAGGGGTTTTAGCTTTGCACATAGTAGGAGTATAATAAATCACTGTTAAAATGGAATTTACCGTGGTTTCTTAAAAAACAGGGTATCTGTGAAACATATCAAAGGATCCTTTCACAAAAGACAGCCCCATTCCTTGGACTGTCCTTTGACAAGGCTTATGGAATCCCTCTCCCCCTCTATCACCAGGGTCACTGCAGTCAGGCTCAGTTGGCTCTGAGATCTAAAGACAGTAAAACCAGACTGGCAAAGACAAGGGTTCCCAGGCTGCTTATTTAAAGAGGTTAAGATTACATAAGCAAAGCAAGGGATGGGTGCTGTTATCTGTCCTCAAGGAAAACCAAGAAAGGACTTTTTAAGGGTAGGGAATGGGGAGGAGGGGATGAAGGAAGAAGAAAGCGAGTTTCCTACAAAGAACAAGGACTCAAAAGCTGACGGCTGAGCCCTGAATGGATTCTCCATCATGACAAGGGAATGAGACACCCCATTCCTTTTACAGAATGGGAAACCCAGATACTCCTAAGATGAAAGGCCATTATGGTCCCAGAGGGGCCGAGGGCCCTGCTCATGACTCAAGGTCAGCTGGAGACTGAGGCATCTGGGAGCACAGTGGAGGGACAGAAGGTAGAAGAGTACTACCAGGAACTTTGGATAGGGCCACTGAGTGATGGGGCACTGGGAGAATCGCTCTAGAAAGTGCTTGTGGGAGAGGCTGGGTCCTTCTTACAAAGTGAAGGTGGGGACAACTGATGATGGGGAAACAAATCTGATCTGGGTTCATGACTGGTGGAGCAGGTGATGGAATCTACCCCCAGCCCTTCTACGCACACAATGCCCCACAGAACTCAAACTTTCCTTCTTGGCCAAGGACTTCAGGCTGGAGCACAGCTACCCTTGGCCAGGATCCAGGGCGGCAATGGTCCCAGGGGTTGGTAGGAAAAAAAAATCCCAAGAATCAGATCTCAGCCAGCAGGGTGGAGGAGAAACCATTTCTGCTGGGAATTTAAGTGCGTGCTCTCTCTCGCGCTCTCTCTCTCTCACACACACACAAACACACACACACAGAAATCGATTATAAACCTGCTAAGTAAAAATCTAATTCCAGTTTAAGGATAAGAGGTTTAGTCCAGAAAATCCGGCTTCCTGAGCCACTGTGGGGAGGATGTTATCTGTTCTCAATTTCCTATCAAATCCATCTTTTCTTTTGGGACCACAGCGAGGATGATGATAATTTCTCTATCTCTGCCTAGGGGACCGAGGTGCATCATGAAGCCCCATGCACCTCTACCTGGCTGTCCAGCCCCTCAGACACTCCTTCACCCAGACTTTCTCTTCACTCTTTGGCCACAGGTCATTCAGGACAGAGGCAGAGGGCTGGGCCTCCCTGGCACCGCCTCCCACCTGGGATGAGGTGAGGCATGCTTGAGAGCAGAGGCTCCCTGAGCCTGTGCTCCCTTCCAACAGGGCCAGGTCTCTCTTGGAGCCACACAACCGTGTCTCCATCATGTCCCTGCCAGAGCTCCCGCCAGTGCACACATAGGATTGACCACAGGAAGGGAGGGGACTGAAGCTTGGGATTGTGAGACCAGCTCCTCTAACCCCCACAGCCCCAAATGGTACCTGCCAAGGCCTTGATCCGGGACCTCTCAAACAGCCTGGCTGAGCTGTTGTCATTATCCAGCTCATCGTCCGGGGCAGCCCAGCGGGCATTGATCCGGCTGTACGGTGGCTGGTTGCCCACGTTTTCAAACTCCGTGGCCGATGTCATGTCAGCAGGCTCTCAGCAGTTTCGCCTGCCTCAATCTTCATGGAAGGGTCCCTAGGGGGGACAGCAACACAGTCAGAGGGTTAACCCCCTCCCTTGGACTTTTTCTCAGGGGAAACTTATTCAGAGCATCCAACAAGGGGAGGTCCTTACAGGAGCGGCACATCATGCCAGCTGCCGGGCCATGCTTCCCCCCCCCCCCCGGGGTCTCTGGGTTAGAAAATATTGCAGCGGCAGCCGCGGCAGCAGCAGCCCCAGGAACGGCGACAGTGGCGGCAAGGATGGAGAGCTGCATGCAGAAGGGGTCAGGACGGCCAGCAGGTGGAGACGTCAGTCGCAGTAAGCCCGCTTCCTCCAAACCTGCGGCCACCACAGCTGCAGGGAGCTCGGGAGGGATCAGGGAGAGGGGGCGGCTCTTCTGGGAGCCAGGGGGCTGGGCAGGGTGGGCGACGGCGTCGGGGCTGGGGGGGGGGGCGTGGGCAGAAAAGCAGCTCCGCCCTTTGGACTGGGGCCAGGACCAAACCTGGACGGAAGGTGGGGGCAGGAAGGAGAGGTGAGAAGCTGGAAGTTGGCGGAGTCCCACTCAGATGTGAATCAGTGGGGAGAGAGACGAACGTGAGACGCCACGGATGCCACCAGCCCTGGCAGCTGCGCTGGGGAAAGTGGGCTCCTCAAGGGCGCTGCCCAAGATCCCTCCCAGGGCTTTCCCAGCAGCACGTATTTACAAAGCTGAGCTCTTGGTTTTGTCTTCTCTGAAAGGCAGTCAGGTACGTGGACAAGGTCTTCTGTTGAATCCCAAATCAGCCCAAGGAGCCCAGATGACCTGCTGTCCCGTCAGGCTCATCAGTGTGATGTGGGGGTGGTGGTGAGGGGACCTATGTGTGTTCATCTGTGCAATGCACGTGAGCACTGTGTTCTCACTTGCCTGTCATTTATATTTGCTCATTCATTCGTGATAACTTCAAATATGTACTGAAGCCCAACCAGAGGGCAGGCACTGTGCTAGGCAGTTAGGAGTAAGACAGGAAGGACCCTGTCCTCATGGAGTTTACCCTCTGGCAGCAAGACACCCCATTAAATAAGCAGCTCCAGTAAGGCATGGTGTGTGCCACTGCTGGGAAAGAACGAGGAATGGTGGCGGACTCATGGCCAGGCTGGGATGTCAGGGGGAGGGAAGGGTAAGCTGGTTCCTAAAGGGAGCCTGGAGGCATTCTGTGAGGGGATAAAGAGCAGGTAGAGAGTTCTGAAGGTGAGAAAGAACATGGCAAAATTTCAGAACGTGACAATGTTACTAGAGGGTGAGAGCAAGGTCAGGGAGAAAAGGGGTACAGGAGCTAGAGATGCGGGGCTAGGTCTTGAATGTCTTGGGCCTTTGGAAAATGACTAGCTTTCCTTCAGCCTTAATTTCCTCACCAGTACCTCCCTTTCAGGCATCTCCCCAGGAAGCTAAAGAGATTCAGGAGATCAAGTCTATAAGACTCAACAGGGAGCCCAGAGCCTTGGATCCAAGAGAACAAAAGGGGGTAGAGGTGGGGAGGCCATGAGGCAGAAAAATGACAAGTGTGGACAACCAGTGAGCTGTGAGGTAAACCACTCCCTCCATGAATGTGTGCACACACACACGTGCACTGACATTCCACACACAGACACATACATCTAACACACATACGCACACACCCAAACAGGCATAAGGTTGAAGAAATGATACAAGCTCACCAATCCAAGTGTAAATGCAGTGCTGTCGCCCTTATTTTTCAGACACAGAATCACTTCAGACTCCTCTTTCCCCAGGCTGATTAATCAATCCCACCACATCCCTTTGAGGTGAGACAGGAGCCAGAATTATCCATCTTAATTGCACAAGGAAGAAAACCAAAGGCCTCACATTGGATGAGGCCTCCCCAAGGTCATCTAGGGAATTCTTGCTACAGCTAGGGCTAAAGGCCAAGCTGTAGCCCGTTTATCCCCCTCTACTAGGCAGATTTTAGGGAAGCAGATTAGATTTAGGAGAGGAACATGGCACATGAGGACAGAGGGAATTCCGCAGCTTCCAGGACCTGGCAAAGGTGTTTGCTTCTCAGCGAAGGGGAGGCGTAGGGTGGGGAAGCCAGTCATCACCCCACAATGCCAGGCCTGTGCCCAAGAACACCCTCATCCCTTAGACAGCCTGTCGTCTTCCACAAATGGACACATGACTTCCAGGGCTGAGATTTCGCATTCAACTGGTTGGGCAAAGAGCTGGGAAGGACACCCTCCTCCCCATGCTCCCCCCAGCTTCCCTGAAGGGGAGCTACTGCTGGCTCCCAGCTCTGGGCAGGAGACAGGCTGACAGCCTGACCACCTCCTGCTGGGCCTCAAGCCTGTCCAGTAGCCCCCCCGCCCCGAGAAGGGCCGGGCTGCCAGACACAGGAAGTGAAGTAAGATCATATCCTGCTTGCAGGAGGTAACTGGACCCTGGCTCTCCTTCTTGTCCTGGGCTATTTTTAAGAGCGACTGAGAGAGGCCCAGGCCACGGGCCGGTGGGAGGGTGGGGGTGAGATTACCTTTGCCAGGGCTCCGTAAATAAGTCTGCCCCAGAAAGATGAGCCGGAGCAGGCACAGCAGCAGGCCAGCATTCAAGACAAGATTGATGGCGCCGGGTGCAGAAGAGCAGCTACTAGAGAGCAATTCATCCTGCTTAAAAACACCACGCCTGGGGCGCCTGGGTGGCTCAGTCGTTAAGCGGCTGCCTTCGGCTCAGGTCATGATCCCAGGGTCCTGGGATCGAGCCCCGCATCAGGGTCCCTGCTCTCTGGGAAGCCTGCTTCTCCCTCTCCCACTCCCCCTGCTTGTGTTCCCTCTCTCGCTATCTCTCTCTCTCTGTCAAATAAATAAATACAATCTTTAAAAACAAAAACCAAAAACGCCATGCCCCCTGCTGCTGTGGCTTAGAGAGGGCAGCTGTAGGGCAGTGGCTTGGCTGGGAAGTGATAAAACACATGTATATGTCTAAATACAAAAGTCTAAGGTTTTGGGGGGTTTTGTTTTGTTTTTAGGATGTCAGGTCCCTGAAGACATCCACCAAAGAAAGAAGATTCAAAAACTAAAGGAAAGCCCTCTTTCTCCTGCCCCCAGTGGCCTGCCAAGACTGCATTCCGTCAGAGCCAAGGGAGGGGGTGCTGGTGGTGTGTTCAGTGGGTCAGCAAGGGGGGAATCAGAGAATCAGGCGTGAGAGACAGAGGAAAAGAAAAATCTGAAAACAGGAAAGCTACGGATGGTTATTCCAGGGAAACAAAACAAGAGCAAAAATAAAACCCCAGATGATGCCTACAACCAAATTTGACCCAGAGCTTTCCCAGGGTCACCCATGTCAATTTTCATTACTGTCATAATATCCCTTTGAAGGCTGGCAACAAAGAAACCAACATGACTGAAAAGAGCAGCGTATGGTGGGGGTTCATGGGGGAGACACCTAACCAAATGGGGAGTCATGGAAATGATACTTAAGTTGATATCTGAGGGGAATCTGGAACTCAGGTAATTGGTCACATTTGAAGGATATAAGTCATCTATGCACCTAGAGTGGCCTTCCATTAAGTATGGAAGGCAGCAAGTACATGGCTAACATTTGACCTTAACCTGCATCTCACTCCCCTGCCAGCAAACCCAGGAGAAAGGGCATAAGAAGTAGTTCCTTGTCCTTTCACCGCCCCCAATGAACCCTCAAGCTCCTAAGAAGTCCTTCTCCCAACCCATGAGACCCTTGTCAAAGTGTAGGTGGCTCCTCTCTGGCCTGTGTGACTCTATGCCCAGGAAAGGCCACCTTCTCTGTCCACCTACCTGCCTATCGCAACGGGATAGGCCTGTCTCCAAATGCACAGGCCCGAGGCTTACCCTCACCTGCTGAGCTTCGGCCACCCCCTAGTGCCAGGTTACATTTTGATCAGGATGGGTTCCTAGAAGACTGGCCCACAGCTCAGGACAGAAAAGCTCATCTGATCGTACAGGGCATTCACTCATAGAAGGAGCGCCTGCTTGGTAAATGGATTTCACAATTTCACGGCGGAAACCCTTAGCTCCACCTTTCACGGTGTGCCCAGGACCTCATCCGCTTTTTTTTTTTTTAAGATTTTATTTATTTATTTGAGAGAGAGAGAATGAGAGATAGAGAGCACGAGAGGGAAGAGGGTCAGAGGGAGAAGCAGACTCCCTGCCGAGCAGGGAGCCCGATGCAGGACTCGATCCCGGGACTCCAGGATCATGACCTGAGCCGAAGGCAGTCGCTTAACCAAACCACACAGGCACCCGACCTCATCCGCTTCTGAGATCAGGTGTGAGGTCTCAGAATCTCAACCTCATGCACTATGCCCCCCTAATCCCTGGGGCGGCGGCGGCTTCTCTCCCACCTGCAGGAGCCCAGCTAGCACTCGCTTCAGCCCTCCTGTGGGCACCGAGGAGCAGAGGAGGGATGCGAGGGATGCGCTGCTCTTTTCTTCCCCACCCCGTCTCCTCTTCCCGGGTGGCATAGCACCAGAGAAGCAACAGAGCCCGAAGCTCTACTTCAGGAGGGGGAGACGGGGAAGGAGATGCAGGGCGATGCTGCTCTTCCTTCGCAGGGTCACAGGTCACAGGCTGCTGCAAAGGCTTCCATGCGCAATTCCTTCAGCAGAGAATTTAGACCGCTCCTACCTTTAGTTTTCTCTCTAGCTGTAAGGTTGGACTCTTCCTCTGCTTTCTATTTTGTCCTGCCCCTTTATGCTACCCTAAACCTGTTTTTAACATATTTTGGTACTATGGTAACCCAGGTCAGGAGATTAAATCCTGAAGTTTCCCTGGTAACTTTTCTGCCAGTGCATTTACTAAAACAGAACATCCTCCTACTCCCTCGGGTAGTAATCTCACTGCATATTCACAGATACCTTACAGAACAAATATATACTAAAATAGCAGGAGAACCAATGAGACGCCCAGCACAGAGTACACTAACTCTATCTCAAACCCTAACCTCCTGCCCACCCCCAAGCTCTAGTCTGGCACCTCCATCTGTCTACCAGATATCGCCACCTAGAAATTAC